AAAAAAAAAAAAAAAGCCAGTATAGCTTGAGAGAGATATCTCTCTCGATCTATACGAGCTGTCAGAATGCCGGCCAAAGCCGTCATGTGTGTCCCTCTGCTTTGTCTCAGACACCCGATATTAAGGTATCGGGTGTCTGAAAAAGGTTAACCCTTTCATTAATGAATGCCTCTGTAGTAAGGGCATCCATTAATGAATGTTAAAAGCTGATTCTCAGCGTTAACAGCCCTCTAAAGCAGCAAACAACTCGTCACGTACAGTGTACGTGACAAGTCATTTGGTCCCTTTGTGGCTGGACGTACAGTGTACTTCTCCCGTCACGAAGGGGTTAACTAATATTGCCCAAAAAATGCTCCTGAATTTGTTTTCTGCTGGGGCGATTAATATGTTTAATTTGCTGCTAAAACAGTTTGGCAAATGACAGACACAAGTGCTTATATTATTCAAAATCATCAGTTAGTGATTACTAAAATCTTTAATCCAAACAATATATATTGCAGTACTGCCAAGAAACAATAATAGAGTTAGATTAGAGTTGGGGCCGTAACAACAATGTTTTGATAAACAATTTCTGCCTCTTAAGGCCCCATTTACACGGGAAACGGCCGGCACATACAGTTCCGTGCACAGCCGTATCGGGCAACTGCCGGGAAGGACGGGTGCTGCGTGTGATTAGTACGCAGCCCCCATCCTTCTCTATAGGACTATGCAGCCGTACGCTCACCTGGCGTCCGAGCCAGGAAACCTGCACCCGCACTTGAGGTGAGCGTAAGGCTGCGTACTCCCATAGAGAAGGACGGGGGCTCTGTACTAATCACAGGCAGCACCTGTCCTTCCCGGGAGCTGAGCGATACGGCCGTGCACGCAGCACAGAGCTGTACGTGCCGGCTGATTCCTATGTGAATGGGGCCTAAAATATGCTTGCAGCTTTTAATACAATCGCATACCAACCTCATTGAAATCCAAAGATGAATCGTTGCAAAGGGCACAGATTGTAGCCAATTCCACCAAACCATCATACTGACCACACTGAACAATATGCTCATCTTTCAAGCTGTATAAATGTAAAAAACATTAAAGCAACCAAGAATGTAAATGATTAATAAGTAAAAATAAGAAACTGAGAACATGAAAAACTGTAAACAAGGTTGGCAACCTGTACAACCTAGCTTTATATATGATTTAAGCCTTGCAGTTCTTAGCCAAGATGTGGAATACATTATATCGATGGGATTAACTAAAGTTAATTAGAAAGCGTTCTGAAGGAATCCTACCACACTGTGATCCTTTCTGATTTAAAGCACCATAAAAATGTGCTAAAATGTTGTTACATTGTTCATTATATCAGTTATCAACACTGGAGTGGAGTTCCACTTGCAAGCAAACACATGTCCTATTTGCGTCCTCCTTATGTTGTTCAGATATCATGGTGGACATTGGCAATTCAGTAGTGGTTCGGCAGACAGTGAGTGCCACAGAGAATGTGTTCCACTTGTCCCTATATGACTATTTTTTCTTCCTTTCAACTTCACCAGGAAATCGAACCAATACAACCCATAATACTTGCAATATGTACATGCAAGAGAAGTGTGTCTTATTGGTACTGTGGGTGCAGCTTAAAATCAAGCTTCCAAAGCACATTAAAAAACTTTTTGAACTGGACTA